TACCTAACCTACGTATCTATATAAATGTATATTTGTGTGTTGGCACGTACGTATATACGTATGAACGTTGAATGCATAAGTATGCGAGAGCATAACGTGCAGGAGGAGGCAGGCACAGGCAGCACGAAGGTTTACGAGGAGAAAATTGAAAACGGAGCTGCGCGTGAGCGTGGAAGACGATAGCTTGCGGTACGGTGCGGTGCGGTGCGGTGCTGTGCGGTGCGTTCACGAAGGTGGAATAATGATTCGAGATGGGAAACACGGAATTCTCGTCGCTACGTCGCGCCAAGTTACTGCTAGCTAGCTAGCTAGCTACTGTTGTTGCCTGTTGCTACTGGTAGTTCTTATGTTGCTACTGCACCACCATACTATGCTATATGATTAAATTCGTTTTACATTTTCTACGAGATTGCATCTCGAGATTCTTGGAGTAGTTTATCGTATTAAAATCTTACGAATGCTGTTAGAATTATTATTGTGAACGAAAGTATTATATATATATATAAACGTAGGTTTAACGTAACATTTAAGATTAATCAAAATTTATTAATCACGATTATTAAAATTTCACGGGTTCGTAGGTTTGCGTTAAACGTCGAAGAGTAACGTAAACGAATATGAAAGGATCGCGAAAGCAACGGGAGGAAAAGGAAAAGGAAGAGGAAGAAGAAGAAGAAGAAGATGAAGAAGATGAGTGACTCGTTGGAAGCCAGCACCCTCTTCTCCTCGCGTAGCCGCGGCCATGAATTCCCTTTTGCAGTTCTCTGTGTCGTTCGTCATTCGTCGGCATGACGAAAGAGAGATAGTGATGGGGGAGGGCGGTGAAGGGTTAAGGACGCGTATCATACCGCTTGATTAATGTACCTCACCCACCCCTTTTTCCGTCTATCATTTTCCTCTCTTTCTCCCTCATTCGGTGATCACAGTTTGGTTATATATATATATATAATATACATTCACGTAGTTTTCTACAAAAGTTTATAAACATTTATAAAAATTCAAATTTTCACCCATGATATAGATAAATAATATTTATATTCGTCAATCTGTGAAATATTATAACTTATTACAAATAGTTAGTACAACGTAGATATAAATATTCAAGGAACAACGCGTCATCTAATTTTATTCTTTTCTTCAAATAGACGGAAGAAATAAAAAGAATTCTCGGTATCTTTTCTTTTTTCTTCTTCTTCTTTTTATCGATCGCGTGTATCATCGATCATGTTCCCGAGCACGGCCCGACACGCCAGGTAGAAATCAACAGTGTATTTTGCGACTGTCACAGACAAATCGATCAACGATCTCAACGGATCGAGATTAAAGCGACCGCTCGGCGCCAAAACCTTTCGCGAGAGTTACGGTTTTGCAATCGACTTCAGAGACTTTCACTTCGAAAGGAACGTAGAAAAGTTTTAACGGAGAGGAAATAATAATAATAATAATAATAATCATCATAATAAACGCAATAATGATACGCACGAACGTAATTTTTATTTTTTCTCAGAGTTGATGTTCTGACGCTTGAAAAATAATAATTAAGAAGAAGAAGAAAAAACATATATATAAATAAAAAAGGGAAAAGAAAAAGAAAAAACAAATGGCCGGAAGTACGCGTAACGATCTCAACGCGAATAAGAGAAAGGAGATAGAATAGGCATTTCGATGCCGGTGACACAGTGACACGGAACCTGTCGAGCGAAGCCAACCAACCAACCAACCAACCAGCCAACCAACCAGCCAGCCAGTCAGCCATTGGCTCGTTTCTGATAAATAGGACGCTACCGGGAACGGAGCCGCGAGCTTCGACAATGGGGGTGCCGGAAGACCGGGGCAGCTTTAATTTCCCCCCGCAGTTCCTGGCAATTACAACGTGGCGCGTCCCGATAACCATCTCTATCTCCGACCACAATGCTCTCGATTCCAACGCACCCTTCCGTCCCCACTAACACCACCCCCTCCATCCCACCTCTACCCCATCTGCACCCCCGCGCATCTCCTTTCTCGTTTCTCTTGCGATTTTTCTTTTCAACGAACCGGACGTCGAACGCCTACGACTTTCAACGATTGTGATTCTTCATTTATTCTTTCGGCTTTTCTTACTTTTTTCTTTTTTTTTTACGCCACCTTTTATATCATACCCCTTACGTTCCCCGATGTTCTCGATTATCGAGTAATAATAATAATAATAATAATATTGATACTATAGAGAGAGACGAGGGAACATAAATTATTTTATAATTAGCGAATATATTCTGTGGGAAGATCTATTTTTCTTTTTTTCTTTTCAAAGCTCTATTCATATTTTTTTTTATTTATTCGATAATAATATATTTTTTTTAATAAACGATCAACGTTTATAATTAGGACAGCATTGTATATCAGCTCGGTCGAGATAGGATTTTTTTGTTGATATTGAAATTTTATTACAAAATATTATTAATGTAATTAAAATATACTGACAGGTTTTTTTATATGAAACCCGGTATAATATTGGTCGCTTATATTACATAGTAAAAAAAATGTTGATTTTTCGTATAAAATACTGACCCAAATAAATGGAGGCTTAGTATTACAGTTATTAAAAAAAAATTTCCATAGGAATATACGAAAGATAATGTTATATCAAATTTCTATTTCGTTGTGCATGGGGAAAATAATAGTTAAAATAAAGAGTAGTATTTAAACGCTGGTAAGGTTGCAAACGAAACACGAGCGAGCTTTCGAGTTCTCGCTTTGGAGTAACTCTGTACGAAGCCTGACGAATTCGATACCATACCTCCATCCACCTTTCAGTAATCCCTGCCAACGCAAAGTGATTTCGCGTAGACAGAGTAAGTCTTCGTAGTTCTCTTTGATCTCGATTGTTTCGATTATCTCGATTGTCGCCATAGGAAGACCCGACACATTGTTATAATTGTAACGGTGCTAAGCTTCACCGTCACGATAGGTGCAAAAATGCTGAGCTACGGCTTCTTCAAAAGTTTTCATCTACATTAACACGAATCTCTAAGATCGAATGAATTAATATACTTTATCGAAATAACATAAATATTTGTCTTCCTTAGTCGCATTAAATGAAATAGTGCAAGAGAGAAAGAGAGAGAGAGAGAGAAAGAAAATAACTTATAAGTTAAAAAGATATAAGAGCTAAATAATTCTTCGAATAATTCGTTTGGATATTAAATAAATTCATTAATTACGGCATCAAGAGTAAAAAAGTGAAACCCCGTTGGATGATATTTTATATTAACTGAAAACTTTTTCATACGTTTGTAGGAACATTAATGAAAGTGTCAGTAAAATAGAAAGGAAGAGAACGGAAAGGTAAAAAAGAGAGGAAACCTATACATATATATATATATATATATATACACATACATAGACGTTATATTCAGCAGTATTCCTGTCTAAAATGCCAACGCACATGCCAGTATGTTTCTCTTTAGCTCGAAAGAGAGAAGTCGAAGAACGGAGAAAGATGAAGTACCGTCAAAGGAGGTATTGTGAGTGCTGGCCAATTATTTCTCTCTTCTTACTCTCTCTTTCTAACTCTATGTTTCTCTCTCTATATATATATCTCTTTTCCTCTTACCATCCTCTTCTTCCGCGTCTGTCATCTTCCTTTTTCTCTTTCTTCCCACCGATTCTCTGTCCAACCATAGACGGAAAGGGAGATAAGGATAAAGAGAGAAGGTTGAAGAAAGAGAGAAAAGAGAGAAAAAGAGAAGAGAAAGAGAGAGAGAGAGAAGAGAGAGAAAAGCAATAGACTTCGTTCTCTTCGTCTCCAACTTACTTGCCAGTCCTTATTCGCTTTGCCCAACGAGCGTCGTCTCCTCATTCAGGCAAAGTCTAATTAAAGTGCAGCTGCAAGTTAAATTAAAACACGATAATGTTGCCGACAGTTCTCTCTTCCCTCTTGGTTCTCTTCATCGTTTCCTTTTCTGCCAGGTTTCCTCTCTCACTAATTCTCTCTTTCTCTCTCTCTCTCTCTGTCTCTTACTTCTTCACACAACCATCCACGACGTTCTCAGTCTCTCTCTCTTTCTGGTCCAAACTCAAGCAAGTCTTGCTCCAATCGTCCGGAGCCATTTGCAAACTCCTCGAAGGACTTCGTCGCGAGTTAAACACCCGCCAGCAATCTTCCGTGACGAGTAAGCTCCCCCTTCCCCCCTCCCACCATCATTCCCTCCCATCCCTCTCTCTTCCTCTCTTTCTCTTCCCGGTTCTTTCGCGTAAGCGAGCGTGAAACGTTTCGAGAAAACGCTTCGAGAGAGATTCTCTTACGATATCGACTCGTTCGTTGATCGGCTTCGTTGAGCAAACGCGCTCGACCTGGAAAAACTTTCTCCCCCTTCCCCACCACTTCTTCCTCCCTCAACCCGTCCCTATCCTTATACAAGAAACTTTGTTTCTCTTTGGTATAGTTCCCCCCTTCAGATTCTTGCTCTACCCTGGGCCACCTCGTTTCTTTCCTCTCTCTCTCTCTTTCTAGTTAGTTTTATTCATTGTTCGTTGTCTGTCTCTCTGCGAGAAAAGTCGAATGAAAAGTAAGAAGAGAAAAAATAAACTTTTGCTTTGGATAGAATTATAACGTAAGAATTTTTCTATAATACGATTTAAATCATATCCCATTTGTGTTTATTTTGTTGTCGCGCGTGATCAAATTAATCGTTTCTCCCAACTCGAGTAACGTTAAAACCTTTCTCTTCTTTATCTAAACCCATTTTGACTATTTTTTTGTTGTTGTCCCCTAAACTAAAGGCAACGGGCTAACCGTTGAGAACCCCTGTTCGAGGTCGAGAGCACTTATTCGGGCCATAACTCCCGTACGCGTCCTCCTCCCTCCGCCCGGTTTCTTCTGTCCTCCCGCCCTCATAAATACATGAGGCTGCGAATACGTAGAAGAGGAGGTGGAGACTCGATGCTGAGAGGGAGAAGAGAAAGAAAAAGAGAAAAAGAGAGAGAGAGAGAGAGAGAGAGAGAGAGAGAGAGAGAGAGAGAGAGTTAGGAGTCGAGGCTTATGGAGTAGGTGGAGAACGAAAACGACGACATGCCGTTGTCGTTGTCGTCGTCATCGTAGAAGGGCGGAAAATAGGGGGCGGGGGGGTACGGTATACGAGAATCCAAGGACTTTAAAACAAATATATCGCGCGTAAATCCAACGTGGATATAAGTCACAGCCCGAAGGGATGGATCCCCGAGATATATTCCGTACGACGAGCAGAGCAACAGAGGAGAAAAGAAAAAGGAAAAGAAGAAAAAAGAAGAAAAAAATCAAAAGAAAAAGAAAGTAGGAAAGAGGGAGAGTGGGAGATGTAAAATGTTGAAGGGAAGAAGAAGAAAAAGAAGAAGAGGAGGGAACACACCGAGAGCAAATCGTCGCTGCTTTGCTTTACATATTTCCTGCGGAATTGCTTCTGTCACTCGGTGAGACTCGGAGTGAGAGAGGAAATGAAAAAAAGGAGCCCCGGAGGAGCAGTTATTTAAAGTCGCATTTCTCTCTTACTTCCTCCTTCCGTCTATCCCCTGTTTTAACGACATAATCTTTCACCGTTTTCTACCAATTAACGACGGGGACTACTAGTTACATCGATGGGATTTATTTCTTATTCGTTTAACGTACTCAACGGTTTAACCAACGTGTATGAGAAATAAAATTCGTTGATAAGATTTTTTGCGAACGATTATATTTTCTTGGTTTCTTGTTTTTTTTTTTTTTTATACGAACGTTAACGTTAACATATGAGAGGAGAAAAGGGTCTGTATTAACTTTTTCGTCTAGCCAATGTACGTAACGTAAAAGGCTCATCTTTCGAGCACCTTATTTCTAGAACAATTAAAATTCTATTGGAAATAATTTCTCGCGAAGAATAACATTATAGAGCGAGTCTTTGAGACGCGTAGCACAGCTCGTTCTTATCCTTTGTAAAAGAGAAAAATAGAAGAAAAAGAAATAAAAAGCCGACACGGAAATCAAGAAAATTTGGTCGACTCGTGTTACCTCTATTTTTCAGTATTCGTTTCACGTCGGCAACGACTTCGTGATGTACATCGGTCCAAGAACGGTTGGTTCATTTTCCGAATGGCATCGAAAATAAGGCGTGAAAGTGTGAAGAAGAAAAAGAAGAAGAAGCCAGCAAGCCAGCAAGCCAGCAAGCAAGCAAGGATCGAGAGAGAACGATAACGGTGAAGGAAGGAATATTTTTCCGGCAACGGGGGAAACAAATTACTTGGGAATTACTCGCCTGGGATTGACGTTTGATTGCGGCACTGCATCTCTGCCGAAGAGTAGGTAGAAAGACTCTCTCTCTTTCTCTCTCTCTTTCTCTCTTGTTACGTTTTCCGTTAGCTACTGCGCGCGCGCGCATACATCCTACAAATACGGATACTAATACATGCAATAGTCCTACACACGTGTAGACACACACACACACACACTTACGTACGATAATCTCACCCTTCAACTCGTACGATTTCTCCTTGTCGCTCCTTCGCACGATAGTTTCGCCAAGTTGCTCTCTCTCTTTCTCACCATTGCCTTTTCCCTCCTTCTCCTATCCACCATCCTCCTTTCCTTCCTTCTTCACTCCCTCCTTTCCACGATTTCATCCGTTGCTCCAGTTACCTCTCGCTTTTCGCATTATCGCCTTTTTCGCTGGGCGAGCCTCGCTTAATTCACTGGAAATTATTCATTTGCCTAATTGCCGACCCGACGAGCTCACTCGTTCTCGCTCGTCGGAGACATCCTCCCGTTTCTTCTCTCACGAAGCCCATTCGCCTCCTCTTCCTCTCTTCCTCTCGTCCTCTCGTCCTCTCGTTCGTTCGTTTGGTCCCACCGACGATTCTCAACGCGACAATTCTGCATGTCTAGTTTCATCTTCGTTTCTCTTTCTATACGCAGTAGTAGTTACCTACTAGATAATATATATATCGTTCTCTCTCTCTCTCTCTCTCTCTCTCTCTCTCTCTCTCTTTCTCTTTCTTTTCCTTCTACAGTTTTTCAACGAACAACTTTTTGCAGTCTCCTAATGACCTCGCACCACCACCACCACCACCAACACCACCACCATCACCCCGTGGCAATCGTCGATAAAAATCTGATGGCTCAGCCAGAAGGAAAGTTTCGATCGCGCAAAAGTTGTGCCTCAGATCGAGGAAATCAAAGCGACGATGAGTGGATTGAGTTGGCGATGGCGATGGGATGGGAGAGGAAAAAAGAGGTAGGACGAATTTTAATCACTTATCGACTAGTGCGTTTCTCTCTTTCTCTTTCTCTCTCTCTTTTACTCTTTCTATTTTTTTTCCTTTCCTACGAAGGAACTCTAATCTTTATTACGAGCGAAACATACTTTTCCGAGCATTCTCTCTCGGTCGCTTACTTTTATTAGATTATTTAAAAGACGAATAAGTTTGCCGTGCAAGATGGAAGAAAGTAAGGAAGCAAAGAAACAAAAAATAATAGCAAAGAAGAAAAGGAAAGGAAAGAGGCAGCAGCAGAGGAATTACAGAGAGAGAGAGAGAGATGTAGTAGGGGGTGGTATGGTAGAAAGAGAGTAGAGAGGATAGAGAGGGTGTAGAGAAGGGCAGAGAGGGCAAAGGGTGGATGCCCCATACTGGACCGACCGTACATACCCCGTGGGCGAGTAGCAGGATTCATGAATACAGGAGTATTTGTGCAGCATGCGCCAATATATAGTGCGAAGGGGTGGCACGCCAAGCAACCAACCCCCTTCGCAGACGTTCCATCTCGTCGTGTTGCGTGGAGACTTTGGCTTTGCACGTGCATACATTGCTCGGTGGTAGGACTGGCAGCATCACGGTAGCACTGGCACCATCCTGGTGCATCGTGCATCGTGCATCGTGAATCGTGCATAGTAGAAGCGATAGGATCAACCAAGACTCGATCCAGACCACCATCGCTATAACGAACGAACCTGACAGAGATTCAGAGAGAGTGAGAGAGTGAGAGAGGGTTTACGTGTGCGCGCTTGCAAAGCACGCTAGGCAAAGTCCCTGGGGGCTTAATACAGTATGCACGTCCGTCCTTCGCAAGCTCGGTCCGACATGGGCTCCAACTCGCTACCGGCTAATATTCCACGAGAGAGAGAGAGAGAGAAAGAGAGAGAGAGAGAAAGAGAGAGAGAGAGAGAGAGAGGAAGAGAGAGAGGAAGAGAAACGGGGGAATGGGGGGGGTAGAGCCCCGAAGCTACGTGCCTGGACTTCGAAGTCTCGTTGCGAACCGCGGAAACTAAACGGCAACGCGTATACTCCACGTATACGCCATTGCTACCGGATACCGTCTATTTTCCTACGTCGACAGGCAAGTACGAACTCTCGTGAACTTTCAATCGATGAGAGAGAAAGAGAGAGAGAATAAGAGAGAGTCAAAAGTAGAGTTGAGAAAATAGAATCGCGTCTATCTTCTTACTTCGTCGATCAGACGTGGAACATTTCGAATGCAAACTCTTAGTGAGAATGAAATTACTCAAGGTACTTATAGTTGAAGAATTCTTAAACGAAGTTTTTACGATGGCCATTGTAAAACGGAGAAATGTTGGTTGAATATTATTTTAAAAAATTAGATATAATCGTAGATTGTGGTTTTATATCGTAAGAAAAAAAAAAAAGAAGAAAAAAAAGAAAAAAACAAACGCGCAAATTTATTATTTAAAATAATATGTTTACTTTTTAATGTAATAACGAGTAATAATATTTTCGAACGATCATCGTCATTAAATGCATCCATAGTAATGTTTGTTGGATTTTAAGGGGGGTTGGGAGTAGGAGGAGATAGATGGGTGTCAAAGGGAGGTGGTGGTGGTGGCGTATTCGCGATTAAAATCTGGCGGTACGTTGCCGCAAACGACAATGGATTTGGAAAGTTCGTTTGCGTTTGCGTTTGCCGGCTGCCGGATGGTTTTAAAGTCATCGTCGATGGCGACCGAAAGCTTTGCTGGTAGTGGTGGCGTTGGTGGTAGTGGTGGCATTTGGGATGGATAGGGGAGGGTACCACAATGGCAATGCATGGAACAAAGCCTATCCACGGGTAATTCGAAATTCGTCTCTTTCTCTCCCTCACACTCACACGCACATATACTATCGCACTCTCTCTCTCTCTCTCTCTCTCTCTCTCTCTTTCCCTCTGTACCCGAGCGTTCGTAATTAACGCTAACCTCCAATTCGAAGGGCTGATTAAAAAAAAAAAAAGAAAGAAAAAAAGAAATTGACGGCGTATAATTGACCACCGGGTGTCAAGGACGCGTCGTCCAATTCATTAAAGATGTTCAACACTTGATGTCTATTGTTATAAAAATTGTATACTTGTAGAAAAAAAAGTCTGTAAATTCTTGAATCTAAATCAGTAAATACCTGAGTTGTCTTTGCACAAGGGTTTTTTCCCGAATGAACGGTAAAGCCTGGAAAAGGTTTGTATCACCGGTTGTATCACTTTTCTTGATAAACCTACCCGGGTACATTTCCAAACGTTCGTACAAAATGATTTTACAAATAAACAATGAAATATATAATGAATCTGTTAACAATGTTTATCGTTACCAATCGAGATCGACGGGGTATCGAAGAAATAGATATAAAAAACTGTTTCAACAGGTAACACCATTGAAAGCGTGGAAGATAGAAAAGGTAAAGAAAAAGAAGAATAAGAATAATAAGAATAAGGTGAGCAGAATCGTGTGAAGCATTGCGTGGATAAAATTATTTTCCCGGAAATCGTGAGGAGCGCCATTGTAAAGATGTTTCGCGAATCGATTTCGTACTGAAGAGACGGTGGGAGAAAATGGTGTGTGTGTGTATGCGTGCGTATATATCGGAGGAAGTAAGATGATGAGAACTAGATGGAGAAAATGGTGGGGTGTGAGGGGTAGATAGGAAGGTGCTGAGATAAAGACGTTTATACTTATACGTAGCAGGAGTGAGTAGGTAGGTAGATAGGTAGATAGGTAGGTAGGTAGGTAGGTAGGTATCTTTATCGCGGCTCGATATCGGCGGCAATTGAATGCAACAAAACGAAAGGGCAACGGCAAAGCGGCATCAATGAATATTCATCGAGTGTTTCTGATGGCAACGCCTCACCATCTCTAACACCCCCCGTCCATCTGTATTTCGTCTTCCGCTCTATCTCGTTGCTGTTCCTCGTAGCGAGCTCTCTAAAGAATGATAGATAGATAAAGAATACGAGATAGAGCGAGAGAGAGAGAGAGAGAGGGAGTGAGGAGGGTGAAACGGTAGATCGGATCTGTGTAGAATAATTGCCAACTATTCCAAGCACGCAACTAAGCGAAGAAGGAATGTCGGAGGAGAAAAGAAAAGTATGGAAGAAGGGTGGGGCGGGGGGGGTCAGGGAGGTAGAGGTGGGCGGATAGGAAGAGCCAAGTTAAGGAGAGGAGAAGCGGATAGGCGGAAAATGAGAGAAACAAAGAGAAACAGAGGGACGGAGCAGCGGACCGAAGGAGCGGCCGAAGGAACGAACGAAGGAAAGACCGTAGGGAGGCTTCACCGAGAGGTGGAGGGGAGTGGCGTCCGTTCTATCCAGCACGTGCGCCTGCGAGAGAGAGAGCGAACGAACTAGAGGGAAGGAAGGATGGAAGGAAGGAGGAGGTACGACGAGAGGGAACCTTACGTATAGACGACGTCGTCGTCGTCGTGGGAGTGAAAGAGACCCGAAGGGAAGGAGAGAGAGTGGGAGTGCCCAAGATGGCGCCACACGGAGTGCCGTTCCCGTCGTTCCAAGAGCCAGGAGGAGAGACGATAGCTAGCTCAACGGAAAGAAAGAATCAAAGTGGGAGAGAGAGAGAGAGAGAAAGAGAACCTGGACCGAGCTGGAAAGGGTGAAAGATAAATGACGTGTCCACGGCCACCTCCGCCACGACTTCCACCACCATTGCCATCACTAACACTAGCGAGGATTAACTACAGTTACTACTAGTGCCGCGACGAATACTAACACCGTTCTCTCGCCAACTCGTCGTCGTCGTCGTCGTCTTCTTGGTTGTCGTCGTCTTCGTCTTCGTCGTCGTCGTCGTCGTCGTCGTCGTCGTCGTCGCGAAGACGTGACGAAGGAAAAGGAGAATGAGTAGACGATGCGAGACCTCCATTAAACATAAGCTTCTCGCTTGCTTACCCTCTGGCCTTTCTGCTTTTCGTTTCAGCCTTCAGGATTTCTTGCCGTCGTTCGTTTAGTCATAATTTCACCCTTCGTATGCGGTACTCTTGTGGACTGGATTAACCGTAAAACTAGGCCTTTGAAAGCTCCGCTCTTTCGTGGCCCGAGTTCTCTCTATCTCTCTCTCTCTCTTTCACTCTACACGTTAATGGGAAACTTGGAACTGGCCTTCTGCGAATTTTAGAATGTCATGCAGAAAGAGAGAGGTAAATTCGCGTGTAGAGTTTAACTTCTTTCTATATTTTGCTTTTCTTTTTAAAATATTTAAAATATTATTTGTAAAGAAAGATCATATATATATATATGTATACACCTACGGTAAAGACGAGACTACGTTAGTTAAAAAATGTAAGTAAAGAAAGTGATAAATAAAGGAACGAATAGATGATAAGAAGGGGTACCGGTTGTCGTCTCGCATTTCTCAAAGTCTCCTACTCATCGTTGATCGCGCGTCGCGTTGTCGACGGGGCGTCAAATTATTCTGCGATTAATAATCCTCGCGTTACACGCGTGATCGGCCCTTTATTCCCCACGGTGCGTAGTCAGTGAAGCGCGTTCACCATCTCTACCTCGACTGGGCTCATCTCTCGTCGTCGCACCTCTTCCTTCCTTCCTGACAATCCCCGAAGAGGTATCAATACCTCGTAACGCGCGCGATGTGATTGTCCTTGTGTAACGCCTAGCCTTTATCGCTCTGCGGGACGTATATATACACATATATTTATATATATATATATATGTGATATCGATCGATACCTGCCCACGTGGCTCATACCATTCCGTCGTTCCTTTCATTAAACATCGTCCTGCTTAGAACGTTACGATTAATAATGACAAACTCCTAGTATCGTATATTTGAGGAACATCAGAAGTATTAGATGATATAGTTTCTACCTCTCTATTAAACACTTACATGCTTAAATAATTATTATAACCTAATCTCATATATTTTATTCGCGTTGAATTTCTAATGAATTATTTATCAATTATTCGACAAATCGATTATTATTATTATTCTATATTTGAGGTGATCTAACGATTCGTTGAAAAATTAAATTAAAAACAAGAAATAAAATGCGAATTTTTGATACGACGGGGGTGTCATACACGATCGATCTTGATCATTATTTCGCATAGATAATTACGAATGATCAGCGTATTATAATGCTTTTCTCGTTTTTCTCAATGGAATAATATAATCGAAGATCGAACGTAAATTTGACGTAGTCATTGCATTTTCTGATGCCTTATTTTTTCCGTAGTGATAACGAGGATGAGAGAACGAAGCGGAAATAAAGCTATTATCGAACGGATGACTTACTTCGTTCGTAGTAATACGCAGAAGATGATCTGCCATCTTATTCTCTCTACTACATCTTTGTTCCTCTTATTCGTACATCGTCATTTAGTATTGCTAGGGTTGAAGGAAGGGGGGAAAAAGAAGAAACGGCAGACACGGGGCAGTAAAAAAAAAAAAAAAAAAAAAAACAAGAAAATTATACAGGAGAAAGAAAAATTTGTGATCGGCGGAAATCTTTTTGAAAAGAAAAAACAAAAAGCGTGTTGGAGCATATATGATCGCGCAAATTCCGATAAATCATTATCGACCGTCCGAAATTACGATTGACTTACGTAATATAAATAAATATTTATTTATGCTTCAGAGAGGTATTTTTCGTCAACCAAATCAATCCCTCGATGAAATTTCAGACGTCGCTGCCCTATCAGACAGATCCTTTGGCTTTACCTTTTTTTTTCCTTTTTACGTGATAACGAGTACACGATAGGTACGTCATAATGCTGTTATCGAACGGATGACATAGTTCGTAATAATATGCCGTAGAATTAATTTCGTCATCTTATTCTCTCCTTTCTCTCATAGATCCTTTGCCCTTTCCAATTCCGTACATCATCGATTCTTATTGTGCGAAGAAGAAAAAGCAGCCGGAAAAGATGGAGAATGAACGAAAAAGAGAAAGGTGGGAGGGAAGGGAGGGAGGGAGGGGGTTGGGAGGAAGAAACGAAGCGTAGAGAAGCTCGTACGATTCGTACGTGTGGAAAAGGGTGATATCATCCCCCATAATGCGATGCAGGCGCGATGATCCGGGAGCAATATACCTCGGGGACACAACGGGATTCTCCGTTACATCCCGAGGACCCCCCCCCGTGGCGGGGCAACCCCTGCCAGGACTACGAGAGGAAACGGCCGAGATCTTCTTTGGCCCCGGGACACCGCGATATTGCTTGTTTTATTCGAGCGTGACACCCATTTTTTCTAACCCTCTACCCCTCCTCCTCCTCCTTCTTCTCTTCCTATTCCTTCTCAACCAGCTTCCTATCTACTAGCTTAATACGTCTAAAAACGAAGGGGTGGGGAAGGGGCCGTTCGGAAAGAATAATTTTGTCGGATATTTAATCCCCGAGGGTAAAATGACCGTATTCGGCCAATATGTTAGGGTCATGGTAATTAACGACGAGAATAAATTAATTATTTTCTTTTTGTTTTTTTCTTTTTTTGTCTTCTTTGTAAATTAAGCTACCCGATAATCGCGTAATAATGCGAAACATCGAAGAAATTTCGACCGATCGAAACTAACTTGTCTTGCTATCGTTTCTCTTCAATTTTTCGAGCAAATGGAGCGAGATCCTTCGTATTTGAAAGTTGTTCGGTTTAAGTAGAAGTCAAGGGGTGGGATTGTTGGAAAAGGGCGGAGGAAAAAGTAAGTAGATTTTTCACGCGCTACTCGACTTTTCGCAACTTTTCCTCTCGACGTTATAGGAATGCGCGGGTGATGATAAATCCTAAAAGAGATAACTTTTAAAAGGAATAATATATCTTTAGAGATAGACGCGGAAATTAATCTTAAATATTAATACATTTATATAATTACATTAATAAAAATACATAAAGGAAATAAATAATAATACAAAATTCATCTAAACGTTTGATAATAATAAAAATCTCTTAATATATATCAACAGTGTGTTTAATAATGATAAATATAGCATCATCTTGTAAATTTCAACAGAATCTTCCTGTTCAAATAAATTCGATAGATTCTAAATGTACGGATTGCTTATTTATCGTGTCCTTTTTGCATAGCCATCGAATTTCGTAACAGAGATAGAGTGATAGTAGAAATAGAATAAGATGGAAAGAAAAAAAAGAAAAGAGAAAGAGATAGAAAAGTAGAGGATAGCAATAACCATAGAGTTACGTTGGCGGTCTTAGGAAAAGCAACGCGAATCGGAAGAAAGAAAAGGATAGATATAGAAAGATATAGAGAGAGAGAAAGAAGAGTCTAGTAAATTTATCAGTGGTCATCCGAGGGCGGAACTGTCGGGGACAAATTCCATCGCGAGCGTCGCCCTCTTTTGCGAACGAGCAGGACGAAATGTTAGCCGTGTGGGTGGTTGGCTGGCTTGCTGGCTGGCTGGCTGACTGGATGGTTGGATGGCTGGCTGGCTAGTTTCCATCCCCTCTCGAGCCACCCTTTCCATGCGAACGGCGTAAGTCATTGCGGCTGACCGGAAGTCACGGGATCACCGGAACCCAGGATATTTATGCGAGCGCACCCACCGACCGGAGCATTACCCGTAATAAGGAAATTGCGAATTTATTACTGGACCACTCTTTCTCTCTTTCTCTCTTTTTCCCTCCCTTATATCCATTTCTCTCTATTTCTCTTCCCTTCACTCTTATCTCTCCCTTTTTCTTCTTCGTCTTCTACTCTTAGTTCTCTCTCTCCCTCTCTCTCTCTCTCTCTTTTACTAGAAACCACCCTACGAGCTGCGATATTGTCCAGCAAAGAGACGACAGGGTGGGATTCTACCAAGAGTTATTTCGGCTTTTATGGGTCGAAACTAGCCTGGGTCATCCGGCACGGTTCCAGATGACAAGGGAAAAAAGTGCTGGAGAAGAACGTAGACTCTGCTACTTGTCAACCAAAAGATATCTTCTTTTCTTATAACTCGACAATATCTCTGTCTCTACTATCTTTAGCAAACTTATGTAAGTATTTATGCGGTATGACAAATATGTTATAACGTTTTAATAATTTTTATTATATTTAAAAATATAACATTAAAAATTTATTAATATATCATCATCGTGATAGCTACTTCTTCGTCATATGGGATTTGTTTTATTACACGTGGGTTACTTACGATCCTAAATCTTTCCGATGGATTTCTATTTCTCAGCTCCCTCTCTTTCTTCCCCCGCCCCAATTCACGAGTTTTTTTCTTATGGATTATTGTTTTAGAATCCTTCATAGGTGATCTGGATTTTGTACGCCGTGGCACGTACGAATACCTACTTCGAAAGCCGGAAGACACATTTCCGGGAGTTGACATAACTAATTTATCATGTAACACCTCACGACAACGTATAACGATTCTAAATGAAACATTCGTCATATTATATAAAAAAGATAGTTCGATTAATAAAAAGTCGTTGATTCGCGTTCAACGTATACTACTATAAAAGAGGAGCGGAAAAAAAACAAGTGTGTACGCTGATTACATAGGTGTTCTTTTAATTAAAAAAAGAGAGGAGAAAAAAAAAAATAAACAGGTCACGCGTGTGTTGGAGAAACCATTCGTAAAAGTAAATTTCGAGAATTATAATAATATGGAGATTTACTTAACTTTTGTTTCTATTATCGATTTTGACAAAAATCACATGGGACGACAATGTGGCATTTGAAGGAACGTTGAACGAAGAAAAAGACAGACAGACAGACAGACAAGTATCGTTACCTATCTCTACGTATTGAGAAAATACCGAAAGAAATAGAAAGAGAGAGAGAGAGAGAGAGAAAGGAAGATAAAGAGATAGGGAAAGGAAAACGTGTCACGAGATCTGGATACTAGGAGCTAAAGCCACGGGGGACTATTAGCACACATCATCGACAGTCGGCTCACTGTTCGTGATGCGTTTGTATTGTTGTGCCTGGTTGAGCGTTGGCAGGAGGCGTGGTTTCGCGATAATTCATTCTTGATTGCACGTCTGATACATACGACCAGTAATTATACCGCGGTGTCGAGTGCATTGCCCCGTTCACGAAATCATTCGCACGTAGTGCTTTATATACATAACTAGATAGATACATATATATATATATACATATATACATATATTTACGTCGATTGAAAATTCTACATTTCACGTACTTTCGAACGTTGATGCAAATTTTATTTTTTTTTTATATATTCAACCAAAATCCATTCAACTCGAGACAAATGTGATATTTTAAATATTTGAAAACAAAAAAGAAAAAAGAAAAGAAATGAAAAAAATAACGCGAGAGAACTCGATCGAATTATGATTACGATATAGAATAATACACTACCTGAATTATATCTAAAGTGGAAGAAATAGGAAAAAAATAAAGGAAGAAAGATCTACGGGATTGATAAGAGCCGTGAATCGAAAAGTTAACGACTACGATTACGCGGGTACCATTAGTCAACTGGTGTGGGTCGAAATAGCGCTGACTCGCTATGAGACAAGGTTCTCTTTTTCCAATTTCTTTTTTTGGTTACGTTTTCTTCCACTCTTTCTCGGTCTGGAACATCAGGTACTATTATTTCGTAATCGTGACGCTTCGCCATCATTAAGGCTGGGTACCCTGACAAATGACGAGTTAGAGCAGCAACAGTCGACAACGAGAATGAGAAGAAAAAAGCGAGAGGAGGTGGAGGAGGAGGAGGAGGAGGAGGAACAAACCTGGTGATTTTTTTTTCTCCCACCGAAAACTCGAAACTCACCTTGAAATATTCTCGCGGAGCGAGCACACGAATATAAACGCGGGCGGCGGCACAGATGATACACGCATACATATATATATATATGTGCGTGAGCCATGACCGCGTTTAAAATATCCTTGCCGAAGTCCGAATCGTACACGACGAAACACCTCACGGTCGGTCGTTTCGAGCACGGCTTAGGAGGATGAACGGGGAAGGGGACCAGGGGGAGCGGAGGAAAGTTATTGATGATGCACGAGCACGGACAACGCCGGATACTGGATACTAACGTAAGTCTGTTTTCATCCATCAAGCTAAAGATTCAAGCTTAATATCCCGAACACCACCACGGAGAGCAGAGAGAAAAAGAGAGAGAAAAGAAAGGAGAGAGAGAGAGAGAGAGAGAGAGAGAAGAAACGTGGCTCTGCATTTCTAATTCGTCGTGTCTGCGTTTGGCCAATCAACGGCAGCCACCACCACCACCACCAACACCTCCGTTCTCCGTTCGACCTTCGTATATTCGAAACTCGACCGGTTGCATTTTTCTGCTCTTATTTCATCGTCTACTCGAGAATTCATAGCAATGGAATACCGAATCGTGAAACTCAATGTAAAGATTCGATCGGTAATTTTTGTAAAGACTAAAGAAACGGCACGCGATACCTTAGATTCCCAAAAGGGCTGGAGAGAAGGAGGAAAGGGTAGGTAGGTAGGTTGGTTGGTTGGTTGGTTGGTTAAAGGGACCATAGCCCCCGAAGAATTTCCGCTCTATAAACTTCAAATCCAATCTGTGCCAGTACATCAAGCGAGCAGCAAACATAAGCTTGGCAAAATATTGGCGCTACGTTTCAACGGCGCGTACATTTCGGCTCGTTCGCAAGATGAAGAAAGAGAGAGAGAGAGAGAGAGAAGGGTGTTGGCCCTTCGCAAAGTATTGCAGAGTTCGTTTTTCTCTCTTTTTCTTTCCATTTTCGCCTAAGTAATTTGCTTTCTCTCTCTCGCACACGATACACACCGATACATAGATCGTAGGTACATATGCTGTGCCCGTGAAACTCCCCGTAGGCTGTTTGTTCACTTCCACACATGGGCCTGGTATTATGCGAGCTTGATTGCCAATCGTAAACATTTGCTTTCCTTACCCTCCTGACTCCATTGGATAGCTAATGTTACCTACCTCCTTCGTTTCAACAATTTGCACTAACTTTAGTAACCTCGATAGAATTTTCATTTTTATTACTATTAATTTTCATTAATGTTACTAATCGAATATTGTTAACGAAATCTAAGAGGAATTCTAGTTTAAAAGTAAAAAGCGATTTAGATTTAGATCGATATAGAGTAAGATCGTAGATACCCCCTTTTTCTCTCTCTCTCTTTCTCTCTTATCATCGAATTGAAAGTAAGAAATGTAACACATTGCAAAGAGAGAAACGGAGAAGAAGAAGAAGAAGAAGAAGAAGATATTCGAGAAGACGAAAATCAATTTGAAACTTCGACTCGACGAAGTCTTCCTCTCGTTCGTAACTTAGTGGCTAGTAAGTTTGCAATTAAATCCTGGTAACTACGTTCCTGTTTTTCGATCTACCTCTCTACTTCTCCCTTTCCCTCTTCCAGCTTCCAGATTCTGGGCTAACTTGTTCCCAAAAGTTGGATTAACCGACGAGAAGTTGAAGTTCGGTGTGCGGCAGTTTCGCGGGTTCTCCGCGAACTTCTCTCTTCAACTCGATCATAGGCTCTCCTCTCGATTCCTTCCTCCCACCCCCTATTCCACCGGTTCTACCTTTCTCTTTCTCTCTCACTTGGTTCTACCCTCTTTCGTATTTTGTCGTTTCGCGTGTAGAAGCGCGGCGCGTAGAAAGCACGAAAGGGTAGGAATCGAACAGATGCGGTTGCAGTTGCGTTTAGGGATAATTACGAGTCGTTCGAGAGTGCCGAACTTTGAAACGCCGAGCTATCGCGCCATGTGCCGATCGAAGTGCTCCAAACTTTGCCGAGTGGTAAACGAGAGTCTGCTGCGAGACATCGTGCCAAGCGTTTACTTGCAACGCTTTATCTTTTCATACAAAAAAAAAAATTAGAGAGTAAGAAAAATAGAATATATACGATTCTTTTGTGTTCCGTTTTATTCGAGTTTAATAATGAGATACATTTGGATAACGTATCCAAGTGGTTTGTAAACAGTTTCTTTTTCGCCGAAATATCGGTACAATATAGTATATTGATTTAACCAAATAAAAACTAATAATCGTTCCAATAATATATTGTAATTAAGATCACGTTAACTTAAACGTAGTAATTGATTATAATAAATTAAGCGTTAAGAACAAAAATGAAATAACGAAAGTGGTTGTAGAGAAACTATAGGAACGCAGGAACACAAAATTGACTGCAACAACATGGAAGCCGCAAGTCGGATGGCGTAACCGAAATTACTTAGCCGCCCTTTTCAGAGCCAACCGAGGAGAAAGAACTTGTTGCACGGCTAAGCCGCGGCCGTCGGTTAAAATATCGGAAATTTAAGCATCAGTACCACCCCACCCACCCTCACTCCTATTTCCAACCACCACCACCATCGCCGCTACAACAACCACCACCACGACGACGAGCCGGCATGGATTTACGTTTCGTCTATTCCTCCTTCACCCCCTCCCTCCTCTCTCCTCCTCCTATTATTTATCTCCCCAGATTTTTAGCCCACGTGATCCTGATCTTTTTATCATATCGATATCGATTCGATTCTCGCGTAAATCTATTAAATCGACTTTCCTATCGATTATATACTCTCGCCATCAATATAATTTCCGATTATTCCACTAATGCGAACCTTCCATGGTCCATTGAAACGATATTAATTAGCATGGATTAGCATTCACGTTATTTATTACTACGATTGTACACGTAAAACCGAGTTGTTCGCTCGTCTCCATATGTAGATATAACTCCAAAACACTTCTCTCTTCCCATTCTCGCGTTTTCTCCTATTCCCCCCTCCTTTTCTCTCCCGCCGTTCTTTCTTTCGATAATCAATTTCCAGTAAATAATTGAACGATTTTACCATTCA